CGTAAAGGACATAAGTGGTTAAAGCCGAGCTCCGTTGCCAAGGCAACCAGTCACTGCTACGTCACAGAATCTGGTTTAGGGCTCATGGCACAAGGTTCCAAGGTTTCAACTTTACGCCGAGTTTGGGATAAGCGTCGACCAATCAGAGCGAAGCTAAAACGAAGCGGCTTTCTTTAGATGATTTCGCAGTCAATCGAAGGCGACGTTTTTTTTTTAAATATGGAACACATCGTATCCGAATGAGTTGTAATCGTATCCGAACAAAATAATGAGTTGTAATCATATCCGAACGAAATAAAGAGTTGATCTCGCAAGAAATCTACGATGATGACATGCATTTTTTAATGAGTTTTTAATGCATTTTTTAATGAGTTTTTCAATTTATATTGAAAAATATGGATGAAACTCGTAAAGCGAAAGTTAAGCTCAGGATTATGCACGCTGTGTATGATCCTGTAGATGATTGATCCCTTCCAATATTTTTCATTTTATTATGAAAATTCTTTAAAAATAGCATGCTTGCAAAAATTTTATTTTTTCTGTGTAAATTATTATTATTACTTTCTTTCTGCTTATAATTTTTTTCTTGTTTAATTATTTTTGTATTTAAGAATAAATTTATTAAAAAAGCTGGAAATATTGTATTGGTATTTGCTTCAAATGCTGATTTTCTTTCCAAACAAACTTCATGAATTAATTTTACTAAAACATCAAATCAATATCAAGAATCTGCTGTTTTTTTAACAGTAAAAATATTACTTAAAAAAAATTATTTTCACTTATTTAAGAATAGTCACAATAGTCAATTCAATAGTGTAAGCTTTGTATAAGTAATAAAAGATTAATCTTTTGAGAAAAATGCTCTTATGAATTCCAAGAAAGGAAAGATGTAGTGAAATATCCTTAAAACAGCAGTCAACAGTCTAGACAGTTTTGTCTCCTGTTAAAGTGCAGTTTTGTCTGTTCTGTTTTTTAATTACGTTCTCCATGAAAGGAATTTACTTTTAATGAAACTAAATAGCACACATAATTCATAACATAAACTATAATTTAATGAATAGTATTTGTTATTATTAACCACTCTTTATTATTATCATTTGAACGGAGTTTTGATTATTAAATTCATGCTATTTCTCTGGTAGAAATTCCTGGATAAGGTATGAATGTTTATAATTTTGATGTATTTGAAGACTTGGGTACCTAAAATTTGTCAATGTGAAATTACTTTTGAGATTTGGTCGTAAATAGAAATGACAGCATATCTTGAAATTAAATTCAGGGGTGCGGCTTATACATGCAAATTATTAAAAATAGATGTATACAAACAGCTGGCAAGACAGCAAAATGTATTTAATGATTGAGCATAAAATACATTGTTGGGTGAACGTTTCCTAGTATTGTACTAGTTGTGTTTGCTGGTCATTGTGACCAGTTGTGGGATACTAGTACTAGTGATAATTGATACTGGTAGTGCAGCAAACTACTATAGTGATCGACAGGGACAGTGAATGAGGAGTGCTAAGCACACATGTTTCACTGTCACAGAAACATGTTCCTTTTCATTGAAAATAATAATAATAATAATAATGTATGGTAAGTACTGTTTTTAGCTTAACTGCTTTCACACCTGCAAAAGAGAAAAATATTATATACAGGCTATCTGTTAGTTATCCTCAAGATTTTTTTTAAAATTATGCATATTTAGAATATCGCATTTCTCCTAAGAGAAATTACGTATAAAAATTGAAGAAGGTTTTATGTAGTATATAAATATGCATTTGCATGTTTATAGTATAGAGAGTACTACAGTACAATGCAGAAATATTCCATACTGCTTTGTACAGAAAGATATGTGCCAAAGTATTGGTCTTTCAAAAAAATATCTCTAGACCATTTTTGTTATTTTTATTTTTTTACCTTCTTCCGTTGCCTCTTGGCTAATGAGAAGGGCAGATAAAAGATCATTCTGTTGGCCGGTAAAACTTTGTGGCGAGTTGAAAAAGCCATGACACAACGAAAAAAACAAGCAGAGCGAACGCGGGAAATCAATCGAGCGGGAGAACAGCGTTGTAGACATTCCACGCACGTGCAAATTTAGCTTCTCTCATTGGCTATGGCTTACACCTCGTTTTCGCAGGTGTGAACAGGTTTCCCGTATTTTATGCCCTAATGACTATGCCTCTATGTGCTTTATGCCCATGTCTGAACGTACCTTTAAGAGCAAGTTTGCACGGAGATCCGTCAATACTCCGAAGTCTACTCTGAACTGAAAAACTAGGAATTGATGTTCTTTGCAGTCTTATGTAGTTCCCCTCCCCCTCCCGGGCTGCTGAGAAATTTCTAATACTTTCCATTTTTCAAAATTACAGGAAGGCATATATGAATAAAGTTACATATAAGGTGCGAATACAGTCACATTTACATATAGGGATTAATTACAGTTGTACAGAGGCCAGAGCAAAATGTCACCGAGTGAGTTTGTCAACTTTTGGCAATTTCTTGCTATATTTCGAGACAAAAATTAGTAGCTAAAACTGTCATCAACTTAGCAATAACCCACTAATTTAGCGAGATAGCCATTTACCTCAATGTTACATAGGCTTGCCCCTGTAATCTTATTTTCCCTGGCAAAGCTTTTTCTTAATGTCGTTCATGTTACATTATACAAAATTCATAATATTGCTCCCTTCTCAAGGACTGCATGTCCCAGACAGTACAATCTATCGGCGGGAAGCTATTCTTATAACTAAGGAAAATCAATGCAATATTAAAGTAATTTGAATAAATAACATGCAACAAATCAAATAATAAATAAATAAATGTATAAATTTACAAATTTATGTACTCGTAGGACCTGCTCTTAGTATACTGCATTCTATACATTATGGTGACTACGTACTATGGCTGTAGTAAGAGACTAGCCTGTCATAATGAATGACTTTAGGACTATGTGAGAGTCCGAGTCCTTTTCATCAAATTGCATTTTGTCACCTTTTTGAATTGTCTTGTAGCTCTCATATCATATAGAGTCTTCATCTTCTCCATTAACAAGTTGATTTGCTCTCATCCAAAATTTTGCATCACTTTAAACATGCCTGGAGATTTTGAATGTAGTCTTCAAGCAATGGAGATGCATCCAGAGGGTGACCAAATCAGAAATCACAAGGCAGACGAAGCAAGGCATTCCATTCTGATAATGATAATGTCATATTCCTGGAGCCTCTTTATTCACCTAGCTATTTGGTCTTTGGAATTCTTGAAATTTAAGAGCCAGGCCAAAGATGCATGATCTTTGTGGAGCAGGAATTTCCTGCTGCAGAGGTAATAGTGGAAATGTTTTATAGCCTTAACTAATATGAGCGCCTCTTTTCTGTTGACCTAGTAATTCCTCTATGGTTTAGATAGATACTTGCTCCAGTATGGTACAACATGTTCTTGATTGTTTATTTCTTGGGACAAAAAAGAACTGACACTCTCATTGTTTGCGTCTGTGTCAAAAATAAAAGCTTTGTTGAGCTGAGGATACGTCAGGATTGTCGAAGATGTTAAAACATCCTTTAATTTGTTAAATGCACCCTCACATTCTTTTGTTACAAGAAATTTTGCTTGCTGTCTGTCAGTTTGTGAAGGGGTCTTGTAATGGAAGAAAAGTCCTTCACAGATCTCCTATAGTATGTGTAAAGTCCCAGGAAACTTCTCAGCTGTGGACATTTTCAGAGCATCTCCAATTTTTAACTGCTGACATTTTTTCTGGATCTCTTACACACACCTTCAGCACAAATGACATGACTGAGTCACTTCATGTCTGAACAATCTATGTTTGAAAAAAATGGACTTTAGATAGGCTTCCTTCAATTTTTAAAGAACCTCCTAATATTTTCTAAATGCTGTTCAAAACGCTTCCCAATAGCCCTGTTCACAAGAGCAAATTTGACTGTCAGTGAAAACCGATTCTTCCAACGTATCCCATTTATATGGCGACTTTTGGTCCCTCCCCCCTTTTTTTTGCCAAATTTGATGGCAAAAATTAGTCGCTAAATTGCTGAGATAGCTCCAAGCTTTGAATGTTGTTTGTTTAATTAAATCACTTTTAAAATGACATTTATAATTACAGATTCATTTCTTTTTGCACAAGTACTTCAGTACAATCTCCCATTCTTATCTTCTTTGTTTGAGGCCTTATTTCATTTACCACAGCATTCTCAAGAGTGTGTAATTTTATTTTCTTCTTTCATCCACCTTATATTGTGCTCTTGAATATTTCATATTCTTAATATATACTGATTTTAGAAATATTGCTTTTTATCTTCTCAGTAATTCATTATGTTCATTTTTTTCCCTGCCATCATCACCGCAAACATCCTTGCTCTATCGAGAAACAATACTTTACTGACACTGGGTGATCACAAGCTACTATAAATAAAGTTACAGGCTACTACTATTTGCATTAAAGTAATGAAACTCTACTTTACAAGCAAAAGGTGAACTGTGTTTGAAATGGATAGAATTATAAGCCTAAACATAATAAATCTTCAGACAGTGAACAAATAAATGAAAGGAATGGAATAGAATTAAAGGCAATGCAGATGAACAATGATACCATCATCCTTCAGCCAGCAAAAATGTGAATAAAAGTGATGAGAATGCAGTGAAAAGAATATAAAATTATAAATCTAAATCATCATGAAATTTTAAATCAAGATTCAGTGAAAGTAATGAATTGCTGTCTAAGGAATATGTAATTTTAAATTAAAATTTGAGTTGGAGCAGTCTGGATGTTACTCGATAAGCAAAACGAAACTGTAAATCTAAATACAGTTGTCCTTCAGCCAATAATGAAGTTGAAAGTAACTGGTCTTACATTTCATATCTGAATCCACAGTGTATCTACAGTAGCGGACTTTTATTGCAATTTCTTGTGTAATTTTCAAAAACAATTTGGTGAAATCATTTGTGTTTTGATATATATTATAAAACTGATCGATATTAATTTTTATTAGGTTTTTGATCTTCGACAGTGCCATCGGCAAATGCAACAACAGGCAGCCACTGCGCAGGCAGCAGCTGCTGCTCAAGCTGCAGCTGTGGCTGGCCGTATTCCTGGGCCAAATTCTGTAGGAGGCATAGCACCTGCTATTAGTAAGTTTTTTTTTTTTTTTTTTGTAAAAGTTTAAAATTATCTGTAGTAGCATATTAAGTCATGCTTGTTAGATTGGAATTATTTTAAATGTGCTTTTAGTGTATTAATTGGTCATTATTGAACAAATAATGTTGCTTCTGAAAACTCTCTCCTAAAACAGGAAGTGGTATGCATATGATTAAAATAGTAATCATAACCTATTTACCGAATGTTCTGAATTAAAATGTAACCTCTAGAACAGGTGTGACAGCTGAATCATATTAACCAAAAAATGAAGCAAGGAGAAAGTGATATGATGATGAAATTGAAAATGAGAACTGGTTGGATAGTTTTAGTGTGTATAACTGCTTACTTTATTGAACTGAATATATGTTTTTAGGTCAAAAAGTAACTAATAGATGATACATCAAATAAAACTGAAATTGTGGCAATCTTAAATTAATAGCTACAATTTAATTCAGTTTGGAACATTCTCTGAACAAAGTCGGTTGTAAACAGCAATAAAGTAAGTAATGTTGGTATTGTGGAGATGGTGGCCAAATGTTATGGCAAAAGTTAATTTTGACATGCAAGATATTGTCTCCATGAATCATTACTTAAAGTGTAATGGAATGTGTCTAGTGAGTAAAGGTACTCCAGCTAGAAATAAATCTTAATATGTTGCAAGGGCACAGTAACCCAATTGTTAAAATACCTGAATTATCAACATATTTAAACATGTTACTTACCGAATAGTGCCACCTCTTGATTTAAGGGTACACATGAGAAACATATTTTTTGCACATATTGATAATAAAATGATCTCATGTAGCTTTCTTCTGAATTTACCAATTTCTTGAATAAATATAAATAACACTTTACACAGAAGTTATCATTCACAATTGAATGAAAGAAATGGCATATCATGATCATATTCATGGCCGTGATTTCCAAGCTTGCACATGCACAGATTCATGTCTTGAAACATCTGCATTAATTAAGAAAACACAAAATATACTGACTCATTGCGGCGAATGATACATTCTTCAAATCACAAGGGATATTTTAGAATGTAAGAAGAATTATTTAGGCATTACACACGCGTTCACAATAGCCGCAGCACATGCTGAACAATGGATGAAGCTGGCCGGAGTTGCTTGTAATAATTCTTCTCAACTTTCATATGGAATCAAACATGAAGAAATTCCTGTAGTTCTGTGTATATTTGAATTATTCGTCCATGATGCTTTTGTAGAAAAATTGGAATCTGCAGAAGATATCGATGAGACATTCACTTCAACGTGTGCACAAAGTGGTGAAAGGGACGAGCCGAAAATTCCTTTCCTCCCTTGCAGCTTTCGGTGGAATAATGTGTTACGAAACCGGTTCAGTCCGACTTTACACTTTCCCGCTTAGCGATGATGATTAATTTCATTGAAGTGGCAGTATAAAAGCTTGCTTTTACAGTTGAATGCCATTTTATCAGAAGACTTTAAGGCTGAATTTTAAAAAATGCCCCCCTTTTATATATATATATATATGTATGTATATAGTTTCAAAAGAATAAATAGTAACGTTTATTTTTGATTTGGAATTAAATATTTATACATGGATTTTGATACTTGCATTTAATTTACATATGCTCTCAATTTAAATGATATTGTATTGTAGATTAATTCGCAGCAAAAATTAATAATGTATTTGTTGCAATTAAATTTATTTAAAATTTAATTAACTTTAAATTTGCTTTTTACGAAATTAGAATGTTTGTTAAATCTCCTAAACGGTAATTCTCTGATGATTTAACCCATTAACCGCCAAAACTAAAAGGAAGGTTTCTTTTCTCATGAAAATAATAACAAATATTAAATTAAGCATTTATAACATAAATTTACATTGAAAATTTAAAAAAATGCTCTTATCTGTGGAAAACGTGAGTGTTGCGTTCACACAACGTCAGCGGAATAAGACTAAGGATGTCTAGTGAATAAGATTCTACTCGTGTGATGTTTCTTTTGAGTGGAGCGCAGGATTACATTTTAGCTGTACAGTCAAAAATCATTAATCCGGACTCGTCGGGACTTCGGCGATTCCGGATCATAGATCATCAGTTTAAATCTCGTTAGATGGCATGCAGAAATTCTAAAATTAAAAATATGAAACCGTAATTTATGATATAAAGAAAAGTTATGATCTAAAGCGTATCAAAATTTGCATAAAGAAAAAGCTTAATATTTATTTGTTTACTTTATTAAACATTTCTTTCAATGTAAGTTGTTTAAGTTTTGCTTCGTTTCATGTGATAATACTTTCTCTTTAATTCTATTAAACAGACACAAATTCTTGTTCAGTTACAAAGTTCCACTGTTCAAGTCCTATAATTGCTGTGTCAAGAACACTGACTAATTTGTCAATCGAAATTTTTTCGTTTTCAATAACCTGTCACTTTTCTTCGCTATCGGAAGCGAATTATAATGACGAGGAACTTTTTTTAAATCATATCAAAGACGGAGCATATCAAGATGAAATACTACATTTGGTAAGGAATTGTAAGCCAAATAAAATAAAAACATCTGCGCTGAAGATAAGGATAGTGCTGACAGATCAACTTCCAATTCATTATGCGCTTGCCGCGGCGTTCCCCCCGCCGAGCAGCGTGAAATTGATAAACAGATTTCGGATTTCAAAACATACTTTCGCTTTAGATCCTTTACATATTAACAAATATATATCGGAAATTCTATTTGATATAATCGAAAGTTTAAGCTTACTTTTATAAAATTGCTCTTACAGTCTGCAAAAAAATAATAAGCCGGATCCAATTCGAAATTAAGGAACATCGCAATAATTAACATTAACTGAAATAGATAATTAGATAATTTTAGCTTATACCGTCCGTTATACATAAAACACGCACGCGAAAACGTATTCTGCACTTGCGCACACGCATATGCGCAAGTCGTAAAAGGTCTTACGCGCACGCGTAAATGCCTATGCGCATGTGTCAACGCGGCGCATGCGCAGAAAGTTTTTAGTTTTGAGGTCCGGATTATAGATCATTCCGAATTATGGGTGTCCGAATTAACGACTTTTGACTGTATAACGTTTTATAAATCTACAAATCCCTTTACTTGTAATTAATTTAATATTAAAATATGCATTGTATTTCTTTTACAAATACAGATTATTTCATTTGAAAGATTCAAGCATGAAAAGCTTGATTACAATCATGATGTAAAAGCTACATTACATACTTTGCATCTATAAACAGTCTGGCTATGGCACTCTTTACAACAGAGTCTTTTGTTATCAACGGACGATTAAATGTCTACCATCTCCATGCAGTGGTTTTTGAATGCTGAATTTACTAGGTCTTCCTGTTGCTGCTCTATTTCTGGCCAATTCTACACTCTCAATAGGAGTATGCAAAAGGAATAATGCATTCTCGCATCTGAAATCTAAAAGAGACTTTATATTTCCAGTAGTAAAAGGTGGTGATATTTAGTAAGTTTAGATACGGTCTCACCTCATATAATTTATCAATTTGACTATTGTCAAATGCAAATTCTGCTGCATATTCCTGTACTGCAAACGTGATATCAATTCTTGTAGAACAGGAACAGAAATGTCCTTATCAAAAGACCAATACATTTTTTTCTTGAGGTAAAGAATATGATATCCTGTAAGCAATAATATTCCAATAAATCTTCTCATATAGGCTTCAGATGCAATAAAAAAAAGGACCTGCCTTTTTTTTTTTTTTTTTTTTTTTTTTTTGCTGAGCGTATATATTTATCTGTTCAATGAGAAGAGAGTAAATGTCTAAACCAAAAAGAAAATCGAAAATCTGTGCACTAGTTTTGTCTTTTATAATTTCTCTTCTATCGCTTTCTTCATGTTCTTCCTGAGACATAACTAAGAGTTCCTTTTTTTATCCACTTCAAGATTTCAGTCTTCTGCTTTTTAAACTTTTTAGTATGACTATAAATTCTTTTAGAAGGCTGAAACTTACTTCTTACGTGAATTTCAACTTCCCCAGCAGTATCATTTGGTAAAATATCATTATCATTATTTAAAACACTGCCATTCCTTTCTTCTTCGTCACTAGCCTCTGCAATTTCTGGGGGAACAACAACAATATCATTTCATTCTGGTCATTATTAATGTTATCATCATCGCGATTCTTTCGTTAAATATTTTCAGCAAAAAATACCCGGTCGAAAATTTTGCTTAAATTTTGCTTAAAATATGAGATTAATTATTATAAACAAAATGATTGTTGAAGGCAAATATTTTTTACAGAAATAATCTTCATAATATTCCCTACACAAAATCATCTGCTGGTATAAAATATCTTAGGTAGTTATATTTATATACGCATTTATTTAATGGGTTAAAGAACTTTTTTTTTCCCCCCCATCTAAATATTGTAGAGATAGATGGCCGAAGTAAATTCAATATTCCTTTTCGCTAGACATTCGAACTTCTGGATTTATCGTACGATTATTTTTTTGAAGCACTTGCAAAGCACCACAGCAGAAGGATGATCGGTTATTTTTTAAACACTGGAAAAACAAATTTGATGATTCACTTCTTTCACATTATCTTGGATTTATCACAAAATGATGATTTGAATAGCTGAACTAAATTTTCCATTGAGGTCTCAGGCAGCAGGAAACTATCCTGTCGACTAATTAACATAATAAAAGGAAAAGACAGAGTACTGTTGAGGTGTACTTCTGTGTTGAAGAGGAAGTATTCTGATTGCGTAAGCTAATGTGTTGACTTCGTAAATAAAACTGGGCAGTTGAGGTGATTTTAATTCCATTTTTATTTCCAATTGACATTATGTGGTGACAGATCACTTGGCACCCTAATCGTGCCTGTTCACGAACATTTACATTATTGATATTATTGCAATAGGAAGCAGTGTAGTGAAATTGCGTCCAATTCAAATAATCCAAAATATGAGGTACTGCTGGTTGAATACGTAAAAGTATAATTAGATATCTAGCTTTAAAGAAGTTTATTTAAGTGAACTTTCATAAGTTGTACCTGCCAAAAAAAATATTACCAGTGCTCATGATTCCTTTAAATTATATGTGAATTTATGTATATTTTGCACTTTTTATCTCTATATGAAGCATACTAAAAATATTTTATATAAAAGTCTTAAATGTACTTAATCATTAATATATCTATCAAAATTAATGTCTTAGTATTGAAAATGAAAACAATACAATTTATGTCATGGTCAGTATTCAAAAAGATGCTGAGTCTAAAAAATGCCATTGGCTATTTATTCATTTAATCTCATGTAACACAGAACTTCCAAAGCATTGGATCTAAAATCTCTAATTATCATTAAATATTATCAAGTAATTGCATGTTGATTTTCTTCTAGATATATTGAACAGTAAGATGAACTTTCATTTCGGTATTGATTCTAAGATAATCAGATAGATAAAATAAAATGCTCTTGAATATTTTGTATATGTTTTTACTATAATAGAATTGACAAAAAATAAAGCTTATTTGTTGTTAGGTGCATTATTTATCAATTGTTTCTGTGCCAGCGTCACAATGTGATTCTACAGATCCATAAATTTCAGAATGTATTTCCCAACGTCTGCTAACTACTACTAATTTCTCTACTTCATTTTTCAAAAATATTTCTATTTTTGAAACATTCTGCCATGCTTTTTTATTTTAAAGATATTTTATATGTTTACTTAATTTTTTTAATATATTAACACCTGTTTGTATGTTACTGTGCTATGTAAAAATCAAACTGTTTTTTTCTGATAGTGTATTATTTACCATTCTGCAGGTTTATCTGCTGCTGCAGGTATTGGAGTGGATGATTTGAGGAGATTATGTATTTTACGCTTGAGTTTTGTTAAAGGCTGGGGTCCTGATTATCCTCGTCAAAGCATCAAAGAAACCCCTTGTTGGATTGAAGTTCATTTACACAGGGCTCTGCAGCTATTAGATGAAGTTTTACACTCAATGCCTGTCCATGATCCACGCCCTCATGATTGATTTTTGTACATAAATTCAAGAATTGCCAAGATTACCAAAGCTTACAAATTCAGTTTTAAAGAAGATTTTGAAACAATTGCTTGCTTTTAATTTTTTAATGTTATAGTCACAAGTTTTAGTCTGTTTTAAAATCATTAATTAAAAAACCCTGCATTTTTTTTTTGTATTTTGAAGGACCAAAAAAAAATTTTTTTTTTTTCATCACTTTTCATGTCATGCTGTACATTATCCAGTTTATTCAATAACTGTGAAGTGAGGATTTTTTTTTTTTTTTTTTTTTTAAGAATTAATCTTTGCTTTTTATGAGAATTCATGTGATTTTTTTAATCAAAAGAATACCTTTAATCTACATTTGTTCAATAATGTCATTGTTTTAGACAATTCATTCAATTTTAGTTGATGAGAATCAAAAATACTACGAGTTGAACAAAAGAAAAAAAAAGACGTGTAATATGTATGCATATTGTAAAATTTATTTTGCCTTTTGTTGGCATGTACAAAATCATACTGTTAATAAATAAGCTATTTAAATGATATATCTTTGTTTTTATATCTACATAATAAAATGGTACTTCATATCTGATAGAATTTATGTATTCTAACGAGAGAAATATAATTCATGATAATGAAGAGTATAAAATCTGATGAACATGGGAACCAGTTTCTTGTAAAATGCACTAGCGTATGAGAATGTTGAAATTTTGAGAATACACAAACCTATGTGAGAGTAGTTTTAGGCATGGAAAGACATCCAAGGAAAGTTTTTTTGTAATGGAAAGCAGGATTCTCTGTTAAAATAGATTTCAATCAATATATTAAGAAGCTATATATCAACTGGTGTTTTGTATTGCATTAATTGGTTTCATTCTAGATCATGAGCAATTGCAATTGAAAGTATTTATTAATTAATCTAAGAAAAATTTAATTGGTCTTAATAATACTACAAATGTTATCAACAGCATAAATGTAAATGCTAACCTAATTAACAATCAGATATTATTTGCATTGAAGTTGTAATGAGGTAGTAGCTTTTAGAGCTTCGTTAATTATTTTCATTGTTCAGACACAGTTTTTTTGTTAGCAATAACTTTTTAATAGTTCTCCCCTCACAGATGTCGCCTGATAGCATTTCATCTACACATAGATATTTTGTATCTTAAATTGCTCTGAGCTACTAAGCCAATCAGAGAAGACAAAGCAGATGACATGATTTGTATCTGCGACCTCCTTAAATCCTGCAACAAACATAATAATTTGTGAAATTTTCAATGCATTTATGTTTGAGGGCTAAATGTTTTTGATAAGTTGTAATAATAATAGTAAATCAATTTTTTTTTTTTTTTTTTTTTTTTGCTTAGTAGCAAACAGAAAGTAACAATGTGAAGTATATAATATATATATTACATGAAATAAAGGAAATGAACCTCATATCTAACATAAAATGTAACACACATTGCTGATAAGGAGATTCATACTAAAGCTTTTTACTTCCTTGTGCGAAGTAAAAAGGTAATCAATTGAATGCAATTTAACAATGTTTCAATAAAAGACTCTTTTCCTCCAAAAAAATGATAAAACTGCTTTAAAATTAATTCAGAAGAAAATTTTTCATGGTGCCTGTATGTACGTATGTATCTCACATAACTCAAAAACGAGTAGCCTCAGAACGTTGAAATTTTTTATATAGGACTGCTATAACATGCAAATGTGCACCTTGTATTTTAGTTGCAATCAGCCGCACCAAACATATATTAATATATATATTCACTCAGTGATCTCAGTTTCTTTACTCTTTTATGTTTGTAAATTGTGCATTACTTGCTTTAAAAATGATTGAATTATGTTGTTCTTATCTACCACTTAAGGTTTTTATGCCTTTAGTAAATCTGCAAGCAATATTTGTACAACTATCAACAATTAAAAGCTTAAGTGCAGTTAAGCCTAATTTTTAAATAACATGTAAGACATATTTGTTTACATTTGAAACAGCAGAATAGTAGATTTTCTGCCAATCTAGAGAGACTAAGCTTCGCAACAACAAAGATAACACCTTCATTTATTATTGCGAATTAAATCGTGCTTAATCCTTTCTGGAACTTTTTCGAGGAAATAAGTGATTAAGATTTACTTCGTAATTTTTAATATAGATATTTTGAGTTTTTATTTTTGCCTTGTTGCGAATTGAGAATCGAATTAATTGAATGAGAAATACTCAATCATCTGTGAAAAACTGTTCTTTTTTGTTTTCTTTGCTTAATTTCTTTTATACATTGTTCTAGATTTATTATAGTATTTGAATAGAACATTTGGCAACAATTAGATAATTCTTCAAATGATATAAATTTTGTGCATTCTGAGTTATAATATGAATGAAATATAACGCTGTTAAGTGAACCTAGCGCCAGAGTGTCAGTATGGTAAACAAATGTAATGAATTTTAAAGAATGCATTTATTCTATTGTGGTTTATGCGCTATCGATGAAGTAGATTTAATTCAACCCGATAAGTTTAAATGAAATGCAAGAAAAATGTGTATAATTTAATATTCCGTACAAGGAAGTCATGTGGTGTATGCATCAGATTTTTGTTAATTACATGAAAGGGAGATAATTTACCACAATCATTATGTTAATAATTAATTGATATAAAGTTTATGTATAAAAATATAAATTATTACGCATAAAAGTTTTAATAATTTATGTAGTAACGGAATTTAAGAAATTATAAAACATTTATTTTTGCTGAAAAATTGAGAAAACAGCTCAGCTGAATTTAAACTTGCAATCTGCTGGTTCATGGAAAATTTAAATACTTTGGTAAATGAACCAACTAATCATGCTAGCTAGACTTAATCTAAAAGCTGAAAAATTATTAAAATCAGAAATATAATCAAATACATCTATACATTAAACTAAGTTTTTCTTGTCAGATTTCTTGGTACGTATAATATCTCAGTAATAGACATTAGTACATAGAATACAGTAATCCCCTTAAACAGAAAAAATATTCTAACAGATTTAGTTAATGCTAACAAATGAGGTAAAAAAATACATAGTCCTATAGCTTACAATACTAAATCACTTGTAAAATATATGAATGTAGGTGAAACTATATTCTGTTTATAATGAAATCTGTTAATCTTCCATAATCGGGGTGAGCATGAAACTTGGCGCTTTTTTCATTTGGTTGTGGTTTCCGGCTGTATATTTTTCTGTGTGCAAACCTAGAAGAGCTTTATTTTAGTGATTGTAACAAGTGCAATAGTGTAGCCACAAGTTTTTTATTTATTTATTTATTTTATTTTGAATTTTTTAAAAGTTATACTGTTTAATATTTGGAGGTTAAGCTGTTAGTGGTGGGAGAGTGTTGGATTTCATATGACGTGAAGTTTATAATTTATGAATGTTTTCATTTAATTTTATTTAGTTAATGTTTTCCAGGTTAATTAATTAGTTTTTGTTTCTTGCATGTGGCAGTGGAAAGATATAGAATGTTTAAAGTTTTAATGAAAGTTGTTTAGTGTTTTGAATTCCACCACCATTATCTTGTATATTTAGTGAATTTATGATGCATCTGTTGTTAGTGAATTTGAATATATTTACTTGTTTGATAATTTTGGAGTCTAAGGAAAGTGTTATATAATTTATTATTTTATTATTCATTATACTATTTTATCATGAATTACATAGACAGGACTATTACTATTTACTTTCAAAGCTAATGGACTTTGTTTTACTCATCTAGTATTTTATCATCTCATTATACTATTCTGTTTATGTTCAAAAATCACATCGTAGTACTTTCATTGCCGCTAAAAAAATCCGCCAAATTTTGAAGGCCAAAATAATTTGGCACCAACTTATAGAAGCCACAAATCAATAGATTAAGAAATTTAAACTGAAAGAAATTTTGCATCATAAATTAAGTTTATTAAAATAATAAAAACTCCAAATGATGTGCACCATATGTTATTTAGTAAGTTAAATGCTAAGAGTAGCCACCGTTGCTTTTAGAACATGTCTAAATGTTTCTTCAGCAACAGTGTATCTCATCATGCACAATGATCACGACTTTCGGTGCAGGCTCTGGAAATATGTATCACTAGGTATGCATTGACGCAGGCACTGCAGACATTCAGAGATATGTTGTGTGAGAGTGTTCTGTTTACTTGTTTTGTATGGTACATTTTGCTGTGAAATTGTTATGCCTCTTTAGGTTTTTTTTTTTTTTTTTTTTTTTTTTTTTTTTTTTTTTTTTTTAATGTATATTCTAATTTATTATGATTGAAGACTATCAGAGGACTTATGAAATCCCTGCTCGGTGTCCTTACGAAACTGAGTGGCTTTTAATGGCTGTTACACTGTAGACTATGAATGGCCCTCTTGCTTCTGAAGTAATCACTTTTGCACTTTCAAATGGAAATATTATTGGGAAAGTTATTATTTTTTAATGTCCTGCATGCCCTCTTGAACAAGATGATGCCACTACAGAAAGTTGCTCAGCAATGATACCTACACCTTTATTTCCAGATTTTTTTATAAATGAATTTTAAAATGTGTAAAATGCATTTTTATTAGACATTGTTAAATATTTCAAGTTAATGAAACTATGAAAGTACTTATTTTACTAAAATATCCTTCACTTATTTCATTGTCATTGAAATGAAATAGGTAATTGTTCCAGTTAGTGAGCTGCTAGATCTCCCATGTCACTATGTGTTGTATGTATAACTTTTGTGCTCTTGTGATATGATTGCAAATATGTTTCCTGACCAGCATTACAAATGAAATATTCTTACTTTAACAGGATTATATCAGTCATTAATGCAAAGTCATAAAATCATTACAGTAAATATTGATATTTTTCCTAATTTTAATTTTATAAAATTCTTTCTTAATATTACCCAGAATATCACAAAAAGAATTTATATTTGATAAAATGAACCCGATAATTCAGACTGAAAGTCTTAAAATAGTTCATTATTGCTAATAGATATCTCTAACGAAATCTACAAATGAACTTTAGATGTTATTGATGTACTGCAAAAGGAGTGATTAATTTTTCTCATTAAATTTTATTTCATCTTCATTTATCTTAATCTTTTGTAGTCATTTATGACACATTTTATGAAGATTCAACACATGTTTGATCAATTAATTTAGGTTTTAAATTTGTTTTACATCAGTAAGTGTTACATCACTACATTTATTCACAAATAGTTCAGTAACCAAAATCATAAAAGGATGACCATATAATGAATTAAAGTCAGTTTAGACTTCTGAAATGGCTTCACCCTGTATCTCATATTTCAAGGTTGATAGCTTGGCTTCACCCTGTATCATGAAAACATCCCAGTTTCTCATATTTCAAGGTTGATAGCTACAGTATATAATTGAATATCTTAATTCAGGAATTTTATAAAAGCAACATTTATAGGTTATATGCTTTTTCATCTCTGTGCCAATTCTTTCCCTATATTATACAATGCGTAACTTTGATTTTACATCATTTTTGGTTCAAACAATTACTTCAGAAG